GTGAATGGATGGGAAGATAAACAGAGATGGGGATTGCTGGCAGGAGAGTAGGGTGGCTCAGCTTTCAAACTGCTGCAGAATTTATTCATTGTGAAGAAATGAAGTTCTTATAGGTGTCTTTCACATGCAGTTTGGAGTCAATCATCAGCCTGAACAGGCTCTGGGGCATAGCTTAGAGTTAAAAAAAAGGGAAAAAAAATATCTGGCAGAAGTCCTAAGGACACTTGCCTTCTTCACCTAACCAGATACCAATAAAACATTTAGGATAAATCAGCAATTAACTAATTTCTGGACTCAGCTGGATGTGGATGAATGGATCAGTGCAAAGAAGCCAAGTAACCCAGGGAGATATTTAATTTTGTCTCAGCCAGTTCTGTAGAGAAAGGCAGCAGGCACTCGTGGTGAGGATGGAGGTTGATTTCAGGAGCCTGTAACTACAGTACTCTGCTTAACCCACAAATTGGAAAATGGGATTGTAATCTGATGCATGCCACTTTGGAATAATTAGATGTGAGAAATTCAGTGTGCACAGTAGATGAAACTGCCAAAAATGTAGGGAGGGGGGGAACCAGAGAGGATTTCTACAATTTCTGATAGCCTGGAAAAAATGATCATGAAATGAATAACAGTAAAAATATAGTTAGCCAGAGAACAGTCTCCAAAATGCCATAAATGCATAAATGTCATACCAAATGCCAGAGCAATGAACTGAGGGCACAAAGATTAGAGGTAAAAATAGAAGCAATTTTTTTGAACTTGTGGACAATGGATAGGGAGATTTTTACTAGAAATAATAACAGTTATCTATGAGGAATGGGAGGAAAGGTTAGCAGTGGAAAATTGTCAGTGTAGGAAGCAAAAGTTGAGGAAGAAAGGAGCTAAATATTGTCCAACTAATTAACCTTGAATGGAGAAGGTGACATGGAAAAGTGCACAAAAACTGTGCAAACATTGGCTGGAATTTGGACCTCCACAATTCAAAACATAAGCAGACAGCATAAAAAATTGCCTGGACTTAGAGCAGAGAATAACAACTTGCTTGATGGCAAAAAAGGGACTTCCAGAAACAGGTGGTAGAGGTGCCCTTCAAATGTGTCTCAAGAGAAGCAGCTGCCCAGTGAGAACAGTCTGGCTGCTGTCTCCAGAAGGGATGAGCTGATTATTAGGCTGGGGATGTTTCCCAGCAAGGCAAAGACAGGGCACAATTGAAACTTATTTTAAACCCAGAGAACTCTCTACTACAACCATTGCAGAATGGCAGAAAAAACGATTCCTTTCCACTCCCTGAATGTTTCTGACAACGTGCTAATACCAAAAGGAAGCATGCCAGCCAAAAGGGAGCCTGTGAGCCAGGGAGTATAGTAAATGCTGGCACAGAATGAGGCAACACAGGTGGGAAGGCAAATTCCAAAACACTTCTGGGGCTTCCTCTGGAATGGCACTAGAAACATTCTGCTGCACCACATTAAGGATAAAGGGAATTTCTGGTTTGTCTTCCACCCAGGTGATTGCTGTTATCTAAGGAATGACACAAGACCAAAAGTCAGGTTGGATGGGACCGCAGGAGGTCTCCAGTCCAACCTCCTGCTCAAAGTAGGGTGAGCTATGAGGTCAAAAAGAGGCTACTCAGGGATTTGTCCAGTCTGGTCTTCTAGTGATGAAGCAAGAAAAGATGTTTCAACCTTGAACCTTGTTCAACAACCTTGAACCAACCTTCTTTGGCCTCCTCTTAAGATCAGATTAAACAAAAAATGAGAGGAATAGATTTTGTTAACTTCCAAAAGATAAAATTAGTTTATTTTTAAGGGCTTCTTCTTAATCATTAACATGAATAAAACTATGTCCTGAGTGATCTAGTAAATTCAATCTCTTAATCTACTCTTACTTTTCAAAAACTCACACTTTTTTCCCCTCCCCATGTTTAAGATGTCTTGCTCATATAAAATCTGAGGTCAGTGTGTGACCAGCACTGAAGATCAGAGTCCTGCTGTCCCACAGTTGTGTGTGGACATGCCAAGATTTGCAAGCAGGGAAGTATTGGTCATGGCATCCCATGCAAGCACCAGCAAACAGCTGAGCTGCTCCATTTCCCACAGACACTGAGCTGAAGGTTTTTCAAATAGTGCTCTTTCCCCACTACTTCACATGGCAAACAAAGAGATTTACAGATGAACTAAAGGAAGATTCAGGCCATCAAAGACAAGCCTGAAATCAAACCCAGACACAAATCAGTATAAAAGGGTGTTATTACTGTGTTCAGAGAATCAATTAATGAAATTCCTGCTCACAAAGGATATCTGGAACTAAGTACAACCAGCTATTTCCCCCTGCCCATTTATTCTGTGATTTCCCATGCTCATTGATCAGTACTTTTGTAGGGTTCTGCAATTCAAACAGAAGGTTTTGTTTCTTACTCTCCCAGTGCCTCTTTGTAGGTGGTGAGGAAAACAGAATCATTTTAGAGACCAAACTGAGAGCTTAAAGGATGTAAAAGTGCTTTTATGATTGTTTCTGCTCAAGCCTAACCATGTTTTAAAGTCCCTTTCATGCAGAACCAAAATAACCTGACAAGCTGGTTATTTATTATAATAAGGGTCTTGAGTTCTGTGGTGTGAAATTATTGTGCCACCCAAAGGAATTCAAGGCAGTCATCAAATACTGAATATTTTCACCTATATTTATTTGGGAGGAAATCTGTGGTCAGGACTGGCATTGCTTCCTATAATGGCTCTTTAGATTCAGACCTCAACTAAGGTTTGGAAAAACTGTACTGCACAGATTTTATGATTATACATAGATCAGCACACAAGTGAGCTGAAACTGATGCCTTGTCCAGAGGACCTCATTGGGAAATGAATTGCAAACACTACTCTTTCTCAAATGGAGAAAGCTTCTCAGTTTCTTTACTGGAGAATTTGGAGCACTGATATCTCAAGTTCATGGTATGTATCCTGCCAGATGGGGGGGACACAAACTTCACCAAATCTTAAGACTTGGTCAGCAACAATCCTCCAAAATGATGCCCCTTTGCCTTTTGCCCCCACAGCAGCACACACAGAATGAGCCCTTGGACACGCGTGATAAAAGTGGTGTTTATTGCTTGGCCTTTTTCCTTCTGTTAGCTGATTCTTTGGGAATTTAAAACCCTGAAGAAACTGTGACACAAGGAGAATAAAATATCAACTTTGCCTCTTGTATGACAACCTACACAAAGTGCACATGTCTGGGGAACTGTGACTGACAGTCATTTGTGAAGGGCTGTGTTTGAAAAGTTGTGTGGTGACCTCTGCAGTTCTGTAGCTGCAGATTTGAACAGATGTCAATTCACACAAGTGGATTGAGGTTCTTTTTGTTCTTAAGTGTATTTTTGGGTTTTGTTAGGCTGAAGGGGCTTGAAAAAAATGCACCATCCATCTAATTGTAAAGTATGCATCCTAAGAAAAATGCACAAGCTGAAAATCAGCTGGGAAAAGTACCAAAATTATTATTTGCTCCATATGGTAGGAAGATTAGCAATCTAGAGTTACAGAAACAGGGCTTAGTTAGTAGAGGCCTCCCAAAACCAGTAGATCTTCAAGAGGAGTGAAAGAGATGAGACAGTAGAACATTTCACACTTATTCAATGCCACTGCAAACACAGAGGGCTTGAAAATTGCAAAAAACAGAAGGAAACTTGTGCAAGCTCCTCTCTGCTGGAGAGGTGGGATCAGGGCCCCTGCTCCCAGCACCTGGCACGGCCATGCAGGCTGGATCCCCCTGCCAAGGCTGACCCCAATTCATGTGCAGCAGGTTCTGACTTTGCTACCCTGATCAATGCCAGTTTTATAAGAATCAATTTTTAGAAACTACTGACTCAGGTCAGCTGACAGGTTATGTATGATTAATAAGCAACATAAGAAAACAATGTTTAATAGTTTAATGGCTTTAAGTGCAAAGTAAAATTAATTAATTATACAAATTAAAAATGCTGCAAAGTCTTTACAATCATACAGTTCTAGAATTTAAATTGTATTACTGTGATAATTTGAAGTCTAATGCTGAAACATACTGAACAACTCTTAAAAGTTTTGTGCTTGACTTTAACTTCTGAATAATTAGTAGACTTCAAGGACAATTTCATATTCTACAAGCACAGAGACAGAATTTGTAAAACAGTAATGTTATGAAACAAATCTCATTTGAAAAATACACTCTACAGAAAAACGAATTATTAATAAAAAATCCAAACATTGAAATAAAAGCCTGAATCCTAAAAAGGGATAAGGCTGAATTCTAAAATTTATCTAAACAATATTTTTCATTATATCAGTAATAAAAATAATAGATTAGGCAAAACTGTCATACTTTGTCTAAAATATGCTAAGGCTATGGTGCAAACTCAGTTTGAAATTATTTGAAGGGACAACAATCTCCTTATTTTTAATACCTTTAAGCTTCTATTCTGTTTATCTGTTTTGCTCCAAAATTCTAGACAAAAATTAAGTTCATTAACTCTTTTTCTGAGTCTGAGGAATGGGACAGTTAATATGTGATGAACACCAAGCAGTACATTCTACTCACAAAATACAAAATAAGCTGAACACAACAGTCAAGCATCTGACACAGTTCAAATACTGACAGCTTATAAGTATTTCTACACAAGCACTTCACAAAATATTTAATAATAAAGTCTAAACATCTGTGTAACTCAAATATATTTGTGATGCTCCCAAAGGGTTAATACTGTCTTGTTTCATTTCTTACATGTAGTAATTTAGCTGTGAACAAAAGCAGCTCCCTGCTGGATACCTTGGCTAAAGGAAACACAATGAACTGGTAAAAACCAGTTTTATCTCACTGCTGTTGCCTAGGGCTACAGACAAAATGAAGTAAAAAAATTCACATGCAGAGTATTAGGTGCTTATGAAAGATCCAGCAGCGCTGTTGCCTAGTGATTCAGCCAGGAATCAGCACAGGCCAATGAGGTGTTTGGGTACTGAATAACATCCCCAATGACTGCTTTACATCTCCTGCAATTCTGTCATACACCCCCATGATTTCCCAGTGGTGAGAATCACTTTCAAGGGAACCTGTCAGGGAAAAAAAATAAAAATTTAAACAAATAAACACATCACATATAGCAAGATTATTATTTTTGCTTTTCCCTTTGGATACTGCTCCAGATTCCATGCCTATCCAGTGTGAAATGTTTTTCATTTGTATTAATACTCAATTATTGTTACAATTCTGATAAAAATACCTTAACAATTTAAACTAACCTTTACTTTTCAAATTGCAAATACATGTTAGTGAATTGCAATGAATACACTAAAGCAAAATTCATCTCATGCTTTTAAAAGAGCTACAAATGATGATTTTGATGTTTATCATCAGCAACTTTGTCAGCAATGCATAAAGATACTAGGGTTTTTTACCCCCCACTTTTCAAGTTCTGAGGTATTTTTATTGTTGCTTTGGCTTAATTTCAGTTTGTTTTGCAGTTCCTGGTGCTGTTGTACACAGTAGATTTGTTGACATGAAAGCTGCCTCATTAGCATGGACTATATTTTGGGAAAAAAAAAGTGACTTCAAAGATAAAACATCCTTTACCTCAAAGAAGAAAAAGAGATCTCTCCCCATTAAGACTATATGTGTGCTCTACTTTAGTGACATTTTGTCTCCATATTAAGAAATAATATTCATATATAAGGGAGCACATAATACATATTTAGTTAAAGTCAGTCTGCTGAAGGGGAGCAGGAGCATTTCACAAAAATCTTTTCATCTTCAACATCTCTAATCCTAAAAGACATTTTCCTACTGTATAGAAGGGTAAACAACATAAACAAAACACCAGACTTTTTTTTTAAAGAACACTCTCAATTTCTTCTCTGAGATCAAACTTTATGTTTTCTATGTGGCCTCTGTCACTGATCTCTCTTTGAGGCTTCAGAGGAAGCTGAAGTATCTCCATGATGGATGTAGTCTAACCTGCACAAGCAGAAGTATGTCAGGACTGCCATAGTGATTTGCTTTAGGAAAAGGAGACCAAACAAGGGTAATGAAATGTGCATCTCCAAATACTTCTACTGCCTACTAAAAAGTCCTAATCTCTGAAAGCCCCAGATAATTATTTATTGTCTAAGAACGTGTTTCTTTTCACCTATTAAGGCATAGTTGGTGTTTAAAGGAGAATTACTGTTCTCATGGGAATGACATCTTGAATCCATCTGTTTAATGCATTGAGAAGGATTTGCCAGGGTGTGACAGTAAAACCCCTTAGACAGAGGTGAATAACAAGGTATGTCCCATTTGTCCACAGGACATTGAAACCTTCTGCCACTTAATGGTTAGTCTGAAAAATGTAACACTAAAATGATATTCTACCCCTGCAACCAGGAACACTCTCAGTAACCATGTAAACATTTGTCTTTCTTAGAAACCTATTACAGTGCTTATATTTATTTCATGACCATGACTTCCTCAGACAAAGTATGAACATTGTTACCTCTGAAAAAGGCACCAAAAAGTCTCCTTAAACTTTTCCTATCCAGAAAGGACTATAGTGTTGCTAATCACTTTATATGCCACCAATAATACCATATTTGATTATTTTTAAGAACCTTTTAGCAGCATGAGTGCCAGGTATCTAATACAGTAATTAAAAATATTTAAATTTAATATACCTTAGAAAACACTCTGGCTCTTCTTCTCCCCCCACCCCCCCTTCCCCCGAGGAATTTGTTACAGAAGAAGAAAGGCAAACACAGGTGTACAATGTAAGCAACCTACAGAAATGCATTTTGCAAAGCTTGGGATATCAGTGTAAGAAATTTATAATCCCAGTGTGGCCAAAAAGTCTCACTGGACTTTTAACATTTAGTTAACAGGAATGTAAAATCTTACAAAGGTTAAGTGAACAGTGAGGAGGGAAATCAGTATGGGAACCAGAAAGAGTAATTTGAATCTGGGATATCCTTCATTATCCTTTCTCAATTTTTATGGGAGGATGGGCTCCCTAAGGACCCCTAAAGGGTCTTGTAACTGCAAGACCTCCAGAGAAAGCCTCACAAAGTGGCTGGAATTCTGCAATAGATACAGAAGATCTGCAGGAAGAAATACAGGACAAATTATCAAGTAGTTTTCTTTTTCAACTGTTTCCATGAGTGCAAGTCTGTATGTTGCAACCATTTCTGAACTAATTAGAATAAAGCTGTTTCTGTCCCTGAATCTTGTTGAGTATTACTGCTGAATGAGTGACCTGGCAACACCAAGTACTCCATTTGTTAGGACACTGGAAACCCTTGGGCTGTGGCTCACTGAAGTTTAGGGATTCCCAGGAGCTTTAGCCTTTTACCAAGCAACAAAAGCTGAGCAGTAGGCTACAGTGACAGGTACCAGTTTTGTAGAGAGAAAAACATAATTATTTTATCATGTAATTACCATTAGGTCCAATACATAGATGGCTGTGTAGTTACTGACTCACTTTCTACAGACACTGGTCTGGCAGATGATGTCCTCTACCTTTAGCAATGAGCAGTGATCTTGTTTGCTTTGTGTGCTAGGCATCCACACAGAAATGTTAAATAGACCCATTTTCTAAGTGAAAATTACTGGAGAAAGATCTTTTGCAATATTTTTTCAGCAGTAATGAATGCCTGGCACATCTAGAAAGGCAGGCACACATTAAAGGGACATATTTCTCACTCTACCACACCCAACAGAAGTTTCATGGCAATGAATGAAATAGATTTTTAAATTACCACTTGCATTGCTACAACAATCTCACTTTCCAAAAGGGACTGTCCTTTCTTTCAGTTATTTTCCTTTTGGAACTTTAAAGTAATTTGAAAAAGCAATTACTGCAAATATGAAAATTAAACAATTGAAGTAAAAAGCAAAATAGTTGTTTCTAGATTCCTAATGTGATGATGATGATGATGTACAAAGCTAAGCATGCCTGAGAAAGAAATGGAAATTCAAAACTGTCCCTACCTTCAGTGGCACTTCCAAGGCTGTGGTTTGCTGTAGGGACTCCATTATTCTTTTTACCAGTGCTGTAAGGTAAATTTGAAAATCTACTTTATTTTCCTTGTTAGAATTGTTTTATATATATATATATATATATATATATATATATATAAAAATAGGTTTTTATATTCTGTTACATAATACCTACATTTCTGCATTAAAAATTATCATTTACAACTTTTTCAGATTATTTTAAAGTGATATTTTATCTCTTGAGAACAGTTTAATTTCTTTTTTTAAATTGAATTTTTGGGTAAAATTTGCAGAATGATTTAATTTATATAGCCCATATATAAAGAAGTATAGCACTACTACATTACATATAAAGGTATGTAGAGCATGTGTGAGTGCTCAGTTTTCAACTTCCCTACTCATAACTATCTGTTTGATGACATTTTATATATTTTAATTTTCTAATTTTCTTGTGCAACCATAAAACTCACTTTAAAAAAGAAGCTAGGAAAAAAGCCCACAAGAATCTGAACTTTAAAAAATATTTTACCCTTCAAAGTAAAAAGATCAGAGCCAAATTTTTTAAAAAATTATCCCTGTGGGGTAGTGGAGCTATCAGGACTCTAAACAATTAACTTCAGTATAATTCATGTAACTTAACAACTCATCATGCCATAACACTGTGCTCACTATTACTGTGCAAATGCATCTATAATTATTCCAAAACAATCATCTGGGATCAGATTTACCATCACTGGTCCTGCTAATTAGTGTTTTGCTTGACAAAGATTGCCGCTTCAACACATACTGTTCTATTAAAAAAAAGGAGAGGATCAACAGCTTTTAAAATGGAAGATATTTTTGGCTAGTGAAAGTGAAGCAGGAATACCAGGTGGCCCCAGAACCTGCCCTGCTCTGACAGGATGGGGGACTAAATAATGGATGTGGTCATGTGCCTCAGAGGCCTGAGAAGGAGCAGGGGCTGTGATAGGAGCTGCCAGAGCAAACCCACATGATTACTGAGCAGCTTCCTTTGAAGTTATCCCTCACTGCACATCACAGCTCTTTGGCAGCTGAGGTTAGAGGCAAAGGAGTGACAAGAACTCTAAGAAGCTGTGGATGTTGTTGCTCTGGCTGCTGCCAAAACCTTTTCTAATGATGCCAGCAATGAGGAGCAGTCTGTAATGTTTCATGTCGTGTCACTGACACCGAGGCTTGCCTGATAATAATGATGAGGATAACCAGCCTCTGCCTGAACAGTGATCAGACCATGCTGGCTCACTCAGATTTGTGTGCTAATGAGCTGTCATAAGCTTTTCATGAAGTCCAAACTATGCAGGAACTCAAAGTATCTGCAGATCAAGCGCCAGAGCTGAGGAAACCAAGACATTTGTTGACACATCTACGTACAGCTACACCTGTACACTTGCTTCATGTCAGATTTGAGGTACTTCATGGTCCACTGTGGGACAGAATAACATTTTTCAAGAGCAGAAACAAACACTGCAATCCACAGATTGTGAAAAGAGAAGTGCTGGCCTAAATAATTACTCATTTGTAATCCAGTCCAAGTCAACATGGCTATTAATAGAGGAGTGTTGGACTGCCTCTGTCTTGAGAAGCCCACTCTGAATTTCAACAAGCTGTCAGCTCCAGGAGGTCAGCAATGCAGCAGGTGCTGGGGCACCCCAGCCAGGTGGGATGCCTTCAGAAGGCTCAATGTGCTGCCAGTCAGTCCTGGATAAACATTTTTTCCAAGCTATGACTACACAAAACTCTTGAGAGGATAACACCTGAATTCTGCACTCCTCACACAGAATCACTCAGCTCTGTGTGTTCCACCAGACACTTATGAAGGGCACACTCAACTCTGAGCAGCTTAATATTTCTTGTGTTGTTAGATAAATAAACAGCAGCAGAGCCTTTGGGCAAGGAGAGGAATAGGTCTTGACAAAATGAGTTCCAACAGACAGTAAAAGATGGAGCATGAGTCAGCAGCATCACTTGCTGGGATGAAATAAGTGAGGGATATGACAAAGGCTGCTGCCTCCTGTGCACTGAGTTAGACCTGTTTCCCCCAAGTTCTCTAGACCTCTGAACTGGACTAGTTCTGTCCCATTTAGCTGTTATCCCCAAAAGGGGATTCATGATGGCAGCAATGACTGCAACAGCTTTCTCTGTTGGTTCACACACTTTTTGCTCTAAGGCATCTGGCACTACCAGAGTTCTGCTGCATTCTTAAATACTCTTAATTTTAAAATGCACAGATTAAAGTGGCCACATCAGTGAACAAACCCAATGGTTCCTCATTCACTTTGACAACCATTAAAAACCTCTCCATGGGTTTGCTTCATTTTCTTCTTTCCTTTTTTTCCTGTCAGTTCAGCTCCCTGTTCTCTTTCTCATGTCACACTGACTTTTCTCTACCCAGAGTTCAGTAAAGCCATTCATTTCAAGCAATCTGAAGTTGTTGTGTCTGCATTTCAGCCTTTTGAAACCACTCCTTTGCAAATATCAGGAAAAAGCAGCTGGATTGCCATTTCTGTTCAGTGGTCTGCTAAGACTGTAAACAGTGAAGAAGAAAGAATTTAAATACATTACAGTCTTTGCACAAAAATAAATAGGTATAGTGGCTGAATACATTTAGGCTGGAAATTTAAAGTTCTAGATTTTGGAGAGGCAAAATTCTGGAATAGTCCTTAGTGGGAGTAATTTTTCATATGAAGATGATAATTTATAAAAGAGACCATATGGCATGGGGGTATGTAATCACAGGAAAGGTTCCCTTTAGTCCCATGTACATAATATCTGATTTTCCACTATTTTCTCAAATCTCCTCGAAAATTTCCCTCTTTCTCAAGGCTCACAATAAATAATCAAACATACACAACTGTATCTTCCTTATCTTGTATATATTTTAGAGTGTAGTCACTAAAAAACAGAACCACAGTGTCTAAATAAGTCTGTCTCTACCACTCTTAATTTTCTGTTTCTTTTCTAAGATTTAGACTGGAGACTTTGGGGATAATGATTATTTCTGTTCAGTCAAGAATCTAGTATATCTAGGGCACATAAATTATTAATTTTAAAATGTTCCTTTACAGCCAGCCATGTACTGCAAAGGCATCTGTAAAATGCCGTTCTCCCAATCTTTGCAAGTTATCTCTCAAAACCCATAGTCAGCAATTAGGAAAGCTGTTGATTATACTCATCTTGAAATGCTTTGTAAGCTAAGTATACGTGCTAAAATATTGTGTATAAAAAATGGTGACAGCAAAGTTAAAAGAGTATAGAGGAACTGAAATTTTAACATATGTTTTACTGTATATTAGATTTTCTTGATACTGACCAGAATAAATATGCTTATTGAAAGTGCTGTGAATAGGAACAAAGACAAGACACGCATGCCTGCTGTGGAACAAAAGCTTATTTGTCCCTATCAAACTGAAGACATTTTTCAAGTGCACTCACCTATGAAATTATGACTCTAGAAACATGTCAAAGCTGGCCAGACATATGATCTATGGAACAGGGATTTTTGCAAATTGAAAGCTATCTAGAGGCATCTTTAGTTTACACACCAGTGTTTTCCATGCTAGAAAACAGCATCTCAGAGGACAGAAAATGTCACTAACTTGTGATGACCAGTTCATTCTTTTGTTCTTCTGTTCCTGCAGTCCCCTTTTGAACATGTGCACGTTTTTATGCAGTTGCCTCAGTACCAAGTAAGCATAAAATGGCAGCAGAATAAAGTGAAATTTCATGTAATCTGTATGTGAGCCAAAAATGTGTACTGGCAGATGTTAAAAAAAAAAGTCTAAGATAGTATTCTTTGGGTAGCAAGTGATCTTAATACCAACATAAATAGGTTTAATTGATATTGATTGTTGTTTTGGTTTTTCTTTTTGGTTGTGTTTTGTTATTTGGGTTTTTTTTTTGGTTGGTTGGGTGTTTTTTTTTTTTTTTGTCTGTTTGTTTTTTTTTTTCTTTTTTTTTTGACTGGTCATTTCAGTGTTCTTAAATTTAAGGTAAGAACTTCAGCTGAAATGTTTCATACCTGGTAAAGTATTAGAAAAATTGTTTCAAACTCTACATTGTACATATATCAAGAACACAAACAGATGCAGAAATTCTTTAATTCTCTCAATACTGCATAATCATAAATGAATTCTAAAAAAAACACCTTTAAATATTACTCTAATGCACTTTGCTATTGAACACAAAGCACTGGAATACATCTATTTCCCCAAAAAGATGTTATTTCAAGTACCAAGTATCTTTCATTTAATTATCACTAATGGATGCAATCAAGCAGAGAGAAAGGCATAGAAGAGTCCACAGTAATTGCCACTGGCAAAGTTCACGTTTCAAACTCACCAGCTATTTATGGAACACACATTAGAAGCCAGATTCTACAGTTGTAACTACAGGTATCCCTGGACCGTAAAAAAAAAAAAAAAATTGGCTTTTCTTCCCCACAAGGTGTGTTCCCCCTTTTAGCTGTAATGCATTCAGCATAATCCAAGGCCAAAGAGGCAGTTCAAACACAGCATGGAGCACCAGTGTCAGAAACAGTCTCACAAAATGAAAAATTGAGTTCTGCCAATCCTAAATACTCTTCCAGAGTCTCTACACAGACTCAGAGTCTGACTTGGGGACAGACTGACTACCTGATTACACAGACTTCAGGACTCAGAGACACTGAGCCTTCTTAGATCCAAGAACCCAATTTTTGGCATTCCCATGATATCATCTGCCTTTCTGCTTCCTGGGCTGCTGGAGAGCTCAAGATGTGAGGAAGCCAGACAGGCAAGCTGGCCAGAAACCAGGCAGATTATTGATGGTAAAGCTGAGAATCTTCTGCCCAAGCAAAACGAATTTCTGCCAAATGTTTTGATTTGAACTTCCCAAGCACCCTCTAATAGGAAATTAGGATTTTAAAAAGCTCTTTTGCTGTCATGTTCTTGCCCTAAACAGAGAATTGAAGGAAACAATATTCCATATCATTGATGAAAATTGCACTATTCAGAGTACTATGTGCTTCATTGTATTTCAAAGTATGTCAAAGCTTGGATAGTCAAAACCTTATTATAAATAAATGATGTTCTGCCTTGTCCATTCAGAGTGAGCCATATGTGTACCATGAAACTGTGGGCAATGGAATCTTTTTGAAGAAGGTATTCTTCCAAAATACAGATGAGACCTTGAGATGACCCACCTCATGCAGTACTTTGTGCAGAAGTAGATCAGAAAAAAAGAACACTTCTTTGCTTGTTTGCTTGTCCTCTTGTTTATTAGATTCAGAAGATTCCAAATCATTTGTGCATTATTAGATGCACTATAAATAGCATTTCTGTATATTGTAAAGTCCTTGAAATTCTTATATGAAGTCCTATGCAAGACTAAAGAATGTGCCAATACTACAATGCCTTGTGGCAATTTTCAGCTGCCATTCAAGAGAATCTAAGAAGGAAAAGGACATTTTAATGTTGTGAAGCAATTCAAAAGAGACTCTTCCATCAGGGAAATGCTGCTGAGAAGGCTTATATCCTGCATTATGATCTTATGAAATAATACTATTTACCTTTATGTTCTTAATTTATAAATCTTAAAAATATTTTAAGTTTCATATTCATTCTACAAACAAGAAAAAGGAGACATATATTTGTTGATGCTTTTCTGAAATAGTAGATCAGAAGCATGACTGGAATCAGAATGCAAACATGCTGAATAGTAGACCAGTACTTCTTGGATCACATTAAATGCAGGAGAATAACACAGCACTGAAGTGTAATCCATTAAAACCCTCCAACACTGCTCTTTAGCTTCAAGTCCACGTCCTTCCCTTTACTGAGCTTTGTGACTGTACAACTGAGATTTCTCTCTGGATCATTAAACTGCTGGCTGGAAACTGCAAGTCAGCAGATTCTGTAATTTAAATTTTCTGAATGGACAAAAGCTCATTAGATATGTAAAGACAAAGCTGACAGCTAAAGATTATTGGCAAATAAAAGCAAAAAGAGTAAGGATTTTTAAAAAGGGTGAGAGAACTTTAGGTAAAGAGATGAAAACTCTTTACTTTCGAAGCACTTAAGTGGATTAGGAACACACATCCTACTGACTCCTCTTTGGTTTAACTCTCAGATATCTAATCTGTTACCTTACTTAGCAGCTCCTGAAATAATTGGAAAAAATTAGGAGAAAAGAGTGTTCCTATTTAGTTTTGTCTGAAAGGAATCTAGGTCAACTGTTCTCAGGCTGCTCTGTGATGTGAACTGAAACCATTCCCACCAAGGACTGGGACAATAGGGAGATGTGCTTCAGCACTGCTGCTGGCTGCAAGTGAGATGCCAGTGCAGATCCACACTTTCTCTGCTATTCAGATCAAATAAAATCCTCATTAATGACTGAAGAATCACCAGATTTGGACCCTTTTAAGACACCTTAGATTAGTTCTTCTACCAGTAGCAGAACTACTTGCAAACCACGGTCAGGGAGGTTGAAAGGAACCTTTGGAAGTTACCTGGTCCAGCCCTGCTGCTCAGAGGGGGCACCTCGAGCTGGTTGCCCAGGACCTTGTCCAGATGGCTTTTTTTACATCCTTTTTTTGCAAGGATGAGACTCCACAACCTCTCAGGGCAACTTGTGCCAGTGCCCAGTCACCCTGAGAGTAAAACAGTGTTCCCTGATCTACAGAGGGAACCTTTTGTGTTTCAGTTTGTGCCCATTGCCTCTGGTCCTGTCACTGGGCACCACCACTTCCTCTATGCCCACTCCCTTAGGATATATACATTAACAGGATCCCCTGAGCCTTCTCTTCTCCAGGCTGAACAGTCCCAGGTCTCAGCCTGCCTTCTCCCCCCAGATCCTTCATCATCTTTGTCATCCTTTGTTGCACTTGCTTCAGTCTTTTACTGGGAAGCCCAGAACCAGATGCAGTACTCCAAGTAAGGCTCTCCCAGTGATGAATAAAAAGGAAGGAAATCAATATCTCAGGTTGGTCTTTTGTGTTAAGAATAAGACAAGTTATCATTCTTCTGTTCTGACAGGAGTATATCTGAAAGTTCCTGTAATGCAGAATTTCCTTTTTTTCTTTGGCTCTTAGGGCAAAGTGGAGACAAATTGAAAAGTCAGTCTTCAATCAGCAGAATGAAACAAACTTCCATCTTGAACACTCAAGTTTGGCAGCCTATGCTAAGTGCAATGACAATTTCCAAGGTATCTCATACCTCAAGACTGCCCAAGTCCATTTTATAAAGGTCATCTTAGCAACTTCAATTATAGGATTATAACTTTGAGGCACAAGAAGGAATTTACAGGTATGTTTGTTCTGCACCCTGCAGCTAGACCTGGAGATCACTAAACTAATTACTACACAGTCTAAACATGAGTATTTGAATTGCACTCTTTCTGCATTTTCAGAAAAAAGCCTCCAGTCATCATGTTTCCATAGTGGGATAATGTATTACTATTATTCATATGATAGCTAGAGGGTTTTTTCTGTTATACTTGAAAGGTATTGATTTTTCTGAATTTGCTACAAATTCAGACTAGTAATGGAGATCTAAATTTGACCCAATGGGGGCAGAATCTATGATTTTCTATATGTATAATCAACCATGAATCATTTTTATATTTTGGGTATAATATTAGCTCTATACTTTATGCAAATTGATGCAAAATAAGATAATAAAAATCCTTCTATGCTGTCCTACAGATGTCTTTCAATGCACTACACTTCCTAACTCTGAAACTATGTCACTTTTAGACATTTTCTGAACAGATATTGCAATCTCCTACAAATTGTATATATTTTTATAACTTTAAATCTGATTTTAATTCCTGTATTTAGAGGTCAAATGTTAATCTATTAACTTAATTCATTACAATGCCCTGAATATATTGAGCTGAAATACTTCCCAGGTAGTTTGTTTAGATTAGATAGAGTTTTAATGCTCTCATTCTGAACTAATATTCACAAGAGGGATCAGTGATGAAATGAGACTAATATAGCAGATTGCACTGTTCAAATGAATGCAGCATGGGAAGGTGAAATTAATTTTTTATTAAATGCTTGTGCTATAATGGAAGGTATTTCTTGTATTGGTTAATTTAAAACAGTTTTGGTATTGGCTAATGAGTTTAGCCAAACATTTTGTTGAGCTTCAAACTAGGCCAATGTTTGTGAACAAACACTTGCTGCCTACAGGAATAAATCCCCAATTTACTGGAGAAGAGACCCAACAGTCTGCTATGTGCCCTCACTTGCTAAATTTGTACCAGATGCTGACACAAACTCTGGCTTAGGGAATAATGTCTGGAAGTAAGCCAGATGAGAGGATAGAAACTTAGGCACAAACCTTTACTAACCTTAATCTTGAGAGTGCCATCATAAAGGTTTCTTAATACAAAAAAGCAGTAAACTAACTTAGAAATTACAGTGTGGTATAATCTTACATGAAGAATGGAATACTTCTTTATGTAACAGCCCCTAATCTAAAGTACTTCAAACTGGTTTATTTCCCTCTAAAACCTTGGAGGAAATACTATTTACTTTTACAAGATTCACACAGTGGATGATGAAATCTTGATTAAAAAACTAAATACAAATAATCATGCTAATGAATTCCAAATGAGTATATCACATTTTATCTACATACGAGCCAGTGGTGGAAGACATTCAGAAAAATCTGCTTAATATACATTTTCTTAATTGTGAGAAGCAATGCACTTCTTCTCACTACATTAGTTCTTTATTCTCTAAGAGGAAAAGAGCAGGAGAGATTGTATTTACCTGAGAATTCCTGGATTTGAGAATCTTCTACTTCAAACAACAATTCGTCATGGATCTGAGCAATTAACCTGAAAAATTGCAGAGATATCAGATAATATATGCAAAAAAAATTTAACAGTGCTTTCCATTCATGGATAAGTTAAAGTGAAAATAAACATCCAAAGAAAATTTAAAAATCATTAATAGACTTAAGAATTGCCTCTCCCTGTATTCTGGAAACATGAAAGCCATAGTGGTAAACCCAAATTCTGCTTGCCAGCTTATAAATGTCATTCAGGGATTTGATGCCATAACAAGCTATCACTTAAAACCAACCTAATTTGCAGAAAAATACAAGAAATTATGGAGACAGACGATGTTTGGTTAATATAGTTTGTTTTTTTGAATCGGATATAAAGAAGTTCTTCCTCATGATGGTGGTGAGGCACTAGAACTGGTTGCTCAGAGAAGCTGTGGATGCCCCAGCCTTGGCAATGTTCACAGCCAGGTTGGATGGAACTTGGAGGAACCTGGTCTAGTGGAAGGTGGCCCTGCCCATGGCAGGGGGTTGAACAAGGTGGTCTTTATGGTCCCTTCCAATGCAAACCATGCTGTGATTCCATGATTTAAATTAAATGTCATTTGTAGACTTTTCTTAATACTTTTTCTTAATAATAGCAGTTATTCAAGTAAATAATTCTTTACAAATGGCTGAAACATCAATATGGTTATGACTTATAACTTTTCACAGCTTCTTAAGATAGTTTCACACTGCCTTAAATTACAGTGTGACATTGACTAACAGTGTGGTGAGCTCTAATAATAGATCTTAAATTATTAGTCACTTACAACACAGTCAGAAGCAGAATGAAACAGATTAACATATTTTTAAAAGGAAATTAGGACACAGGACACAAAAAAAGAAATAGATGAAAAGACCAGGATCATCTGTAGCAAGAGAACACAGTTACATGAAAAGCTGTAATTTCTAATTCAAGTAAATTAATTAAAACAAGAATATCCTGATAACCATTGAAATGACATGCAAAAGGTACAAATCAGAACAGTGAATATTAAAGATGAATAAACAGTCAATCAATTGAATAAGTGAAAATAATTGCATTTATTAAACCAGTGCAATAAAACCACAATAGACTGATTATTGTTTGTTCCAGAGTAGTGTCTCATGCCTTCAGTCAGGATTAAAGCACCATATATTCTGAATATTTGGTAAGGAAAAGTCCTTTCTTAGAAGAACTTACAATATACATAAAAACTTAATTATAAATTTTTCAGGATTTAGGAATGAAAGAATAGGATTTTCAAAACATCTCAGCATTGTAACAACTGATCACCTCACCTCCATGCTAAAAGTAAAACAGGAGGAGCAGGTTTGGACCAGAATTAAGTGCTATCTTATGTATGCCCAAAAACCTGTGGAAGCAATGTAAATTACCTGAAATTTTCTCTCTGGACAGCAAAATAGACTTGACACAACTCTACATGCTCCAGTTCACCAAATGAATGCAGCCCAGCTCCTTTAGCTTAGCTCTCCATGGTGGCTAAAGGACATTTCTGTTTCTCATGCACATCATCCTGAACATCACAGCCCATCAGCTCAGCTGCACTGCCAGTTAACTCAGGAGCTGCCTGGAGCTGCAGAGCTGCATCTGCCCCACCTTACACATCTAGTGATTCATTTGAAGTTCAGGACCATGTTCTCTCTGCTAAATACAGAACTAGAAGTTGGCATTGCTGGTTCTCTGTCTAGCTCTGCTGCTCTCCTAACCACAGTTAGAAAATGGGAATAATATTTCTGAGATCTAAGGAATGAGTATTTCTAATACACTTCTATTTTCAAATGAAAGATATTACAGAAGATTTAATTAACACTAAACATGATTTCCTAGACTGATGCCAATAATGAAATAGTACACACTATTTCCTCCTTAATCTTCATCAAACAAGATAGATAATTTTTGATGATGTTTTATCTCTTCTTCTTACATGTTTCACAGCAAATAATGAGTTCTGGTCTTGCAGTACAAGGCCACCTGCATTTTTTCAAGCTTGCTTAAGTAATAACACTTTCATGCAATATGCTGTTCCACAGAAGGAAGCATTCAATTTGACATCAATAAAGATGAAAGAAAAAAATCAAAGCAATTTGTACATTCAAAATTTACAGTTTTCACCATTCCCCTGCATGCACCCACCTAGCCATTGCATAGTCTGAGTGAAAGAAGTTTGAAAAAGCTCCTATACTTTTGCTTAATAGCTTAATTGAATCCTCTTAACTTTGAAGGAATATTGCAATAGCAAGCTCCTCTCATTATCTTGTGCTAAAAGCTATGGCCAACTGGATTAGAAACTGCAAACCAGGCAGACACTAGTACATTTTTAATTCTACAGATGTTAAGAATGCCTTTGATTTAGAAACTAGTATTTTATTAACTATGTTCTTGCCTGACTAAAAATTAGGCATCATTATTGATGAGTGCACATATGATTTCCTTTTCTGAGAAACATGACTTGCATCTGAGCATGCCTGTAGTGTGGAACTAGAAATAGTGCTACAGCCTGAGCCTTCAAATGCAGAAATATTTATGTGAGTGCCAGTCTGAACATGGTTTTTGACACCACTTTAGTGTGCCCAGCAAACAACAGCCATCTTAAACTATTATGCTGCACTATAGGATTTTAAAAAGAAGATATTTTTCATTTTCTTAACACTACATTGATCATTCTTCCAGTTTCCTATAAAGCATTACAGAGACTAAATTCTCAGGCCTCCAGTGGATCAGCCCAGCCATTACTACTGTATCATAATCATATTAATAAATTATATATGCCAAAACTAATTAAACTGTTCTCAATAGATTTTTTCATAGTATTCTATTAATGAAGCCATATTGTTAGAGCATATCTTTCTGTAGTACCAGGCCAGCTGTCTAATAAAACAACTAATGAAGATTTTGTTTATTACTGGAAATCAATATATTCCAGGTTTGGACTACTCTGTTCTAAAGTACAGAATTTGAAGGTTTTCCATGACTACTTCAAACACCTAGAAATTATTACACTATTGAACTGACCTCACCAAAACAGCTGTTACCTTATTAGTGAGCAACTGCATTTTTCTTTATCAATAAAGGAAACAACTTTCTGTCTAAACTCAAAAGAAGAGCACTGTGGCCTGACATGCTGCAGGCTCCAGTGCAGGTATGTTCACTAGAAGAGGCCAGTGTAGGAGAGGGGAAAAAGAAAGACAGGATTATCATAGTAGTGTTCATCAGAAGGAGGTTTTTAACAGCAACATGCAGCGCTTCAGGATGTTGGAATGTGCCAAGAGATGCTCAAACTAATTAAATTCATGCTTCTTCTGCAGACAAGGGACTAAGGCTGGTTCTGACCTAGATGTTCTGAGCTCACACTTGGAAAACCCCAGCTCTGTGTGGTGGCTTTGTGGCAGTGCCACCTCCCAAAACAGTTACCTGAAGTTAGGCAGAGATTAACCCTCTGTACATTTTTTTTATATAGTTTTTGCATCACTGGGGAAATTTTTACTGCTGTTAGCAACACACCAAAGCATAACATGGTTTAGCTTTCCAGATTGGTCTGTAGAAAGATAAAATAAAATATAAACCACCAACAGTTTAGTGGTGGAGTTGGCAGTGCCAGCTTAACAGTTGGACTCAATGACCTTAGAGGTGTTTTCCAACCTAACTGATTCTATGATTATTACATTGAGCTGTCTGTTTGAAGAATTTGAATAGAAAATAAATTATAATAAGGTTTAAAACTGGGCAACTGGAAAAGCTTTAAAAAAGAGGGTTTGATCATCATGCACAACATAGCAGGACTCAATGATCTTAAAGGTCTTTTCCAACCTAACTGATACTATAATTCTGTAAGGAATTGAGGGCACCTTATTCTCACCAAGAGCCTTCAAGCTGAGAGCCCAGACTAAAGTTTAAGATGGTTCCTGCTGGACACTCCTACATCTTCAGAAAAAAGTGGTGCAGGACAAGGTCACAGGTCTGATTCTGAACTAGAGCACACCAGTGTAAAATTTCCACAACATATGACATATTTTAACTTGAAGAGATACTGAAAATTAAATCATATTTGAACAAGAGATTTCCTAAAACAAAAGGATGGTCTTTGGAGAAGGAGTGAAGAAGATTAATTATTTGAAATCCATTATAACTTAATGGTTGGAGTAAAAAATTCTAGTGAATAAAAAACTATAATAAATCTTGAGAATTTAAAACAATGTTAGCAGTTAAGTATTTATATATGAACAATAAAAATATAAACATTGAAGAGTTACTAAAAGTACAGCGCTTTAAATAGGGCATTAATGATCACTTGGTAGAATAAACTTTGAAATACTTCTTTAAAATATTCTCTAAAATATTTTTAAATATTTTAAAAATATTTCTAATTTTCTATTTCTCACAAGGTTTTCATCTCATTTAAAAAAGCACTATGTCTCTGACCAGTGAAATGAAGGTCATACAACAGTATCAGATTTTATACCCCAAAGATTACTATCTTTGTCTCTCATCCTATGATCTTCCCCTTTTTTGATATAAGCAAATCAATCAATAAAATAATAATCCAACTAGTAACACCACATTTTTTGTTTTGAATTTGAAACCTATAAATGCCTAATGGGAGACTTCAAAATTGCAGATATGGGAGTACACAGTTAAAAGCTATGTGTAAAAAGTTTAAAAATAAACCCAAAAAGCATAAAAACTGTTAAGTGGTTAGGAAAAAAAAGATTAAAACAATAAGGTATTTTAAAACCAGACAAATGGGGGAATATGGAAAAAAAATGAAACCCAATCCATCAAAACCAAAAAACAAATGGAAATATGTTTTGTGTTTTTTAAATTAAAAAAAAATCACTTGAAAAATTGACACATTCACACTTAATAAATTAATATTTAATAAAATAAAAATTTTAATAAAATAAAATATTGACTAAAAAGGCACGTAATGAAATACTTTGCCAGAAAAAGCCAGAATGGTTGCTCATTTAACAAACACTTGCATTGATGTCAAGAATATTTAGAAATTA